GTGGGGGGACAGGTGGCCGTGGAAATCTACTGGGTGTGCACGTATTTGCACCCGTTGCCTTTGGCAAGTCATTCATTCAACGCATTCCTGTGCGCCAGGCACTGTTCCAGGCATTGGGGATACAAAGGTATAGAGGGCCCCGTTCTCATGAAGCTTACGTTTTAGTGGGCAAGTCAATAAGTAACTAATGAACTGACCAGCCAACAAACTAAAATACTGGCTGAGGCAGGAAGTGTTCAGGAAAAAAAATACAGGAAAAATAAAGCAGAGAAGGGGATAGAAGAGTGAGGGGGGTAATAGTGTGATCAGGGAAAGTATCATCTGAGGAGGGGGCATTGAGCAGAAACTGAATGAAGTTAGGGGGTGAGCTATGGTGACCACCTGGAGGGAGAATACTTCAAGCAGATGGTGTAAAGAGGGCCAAGGCTCCACAGTGGGAATATGTCCAGTGTCCGAGAAAAACGCATGGTTACTGTGAAGTGAGATGGACAGGTAGTAGAAGGGAAGAGATTTGGTGAGGTGGTAGGGGGGCAAATCATTGAAGGTCTTAATAAGGAATTTGGGTTTTATTCTAAGTGTGATAGGAAGCTACTAGGGAATTGGGAGCAGGGGCGTGAGTGGATCTGCTTATGTTTTGCAAAGATCACTCCGGTGGCGGCTTGGAGAATAGACTAGGAAGAGGTAAGATCAGAAGGAGGAAAGCCGGTTAGGAAGCTATTGCAGGCGTCTAAATCAGCGATGGTGATGTGGACTAGTATGGTCAGGGAGGAGTTGCTGAGAAATTATCAGATTAGGATTGTTTTTAAAGGTAGAACAGAGATTTGCAGATGGATTGGATGTGGGGTGAGAGAGAAAGAAAGGAGTCAAGGATAACCACGGATTTTGACTTGTGCAACTGGGTAAATGGTGGTTCCATTCACAAATATGGGGGGAAAGCAGGAGGAACAGATTTCAGTCAGAATAGGGAGAAGTGAACATGTTTTGGAGATACTAAACTGCCCACTAGACCTTAAGTACTGATGTCAATAGGCAATTACAGCCATGCATAGCTTAAGGGGGTGGGGGGAATATGTTCTGAGAAATGTGTCTCTAGGCAATTACATTGTTGTGTGAATATCATAGCGTGCACTTACACACCTAGATGGTACAGCCAGCCTACTGCACACCTAGGCTGTGTGGTACAGCCTATTCCTCCTGGGCTACAAGCCTGTACAGCATGTGACTGTACTGAATACTGTAGGCAATTGTGACACAATGGTAAGTACTTATGTATCTAAACATAGTAAAAATATGGTATAAAAAAATGGTTGACCTGTGTAGGGCAGTTACCATGAATGGAGCTTGTAGGACTGGAAGTTTCTCTGGGTGAGTCAGCGAGTGAGTGGAGAGTGAATGTGAAGGCCTAGGATATGACTGTACACAACTGGAGACTTTATAAACACTGTACAGTTAGACTACGTGAGCTTTATAAAAACCAGTTTTCTTTCTTCAATAATCATCTCAGGCTACTGTAATTTTTTTGCTTTATAAACATTTTATATTTTTTAGCTTTTCAACTCTTCTAATAACTTAGTTTAAAACACAAACACATTGTACAGCTGTATAAGAATATTTTCTTTATGTCCTATTCTACAATATATGCTGTTTTCTATTAAAAATTTGTTTTTAAACTTTTTTGTTAAAAACTACAATACAAACACACATTAGCCTTGGCCTACACAGATTCAGGACCATGAATGTCACTGTCTCCCACCTCCACATCTTGTCCCACTGGAAGGTCTTGGGGAGCCGTAAAATACCTGGAGCGGTCATCTCCTGTGATGACAATGTCATCTTCTGCTTGAGGAGGTGTCACGCTTTTCAGAAATATGTCCCTCCCTGGTGGTTTGCTTGGTTTGTTTCTTTTTTCACCATAGATTTGCTTGTAAGCAGATAATGTACCATGAACATTCCTCTTTATTAATAAAAACCTTCCATGCTGGGGTCCATATCTTCAAACCTTTTAAGGAGCTTGTTGAGGTCAGCAAAAACTTCTGCCAAAGCCTTCACCCTGAATTTTCTTGGGGGTTCTTCTTCTTTTTCTTCTCCTGCAGTTTCCTTTTCTCTTGCCTCTTCTTTAAGAGCTATGCATTCCTGTTCCATTTCCAACAACTCATTAGTCAATTCCTCAGGAAGCGCCCCTAAGAGCTCCTCCATGCCACCCTCATCCACACCCAGGTGAAACTGTTGCCATTACAACCACAGCCTTCTGATATTTGCAACCTCCTCTTCCTTGGCAAATCCCTTGAAGTCATGCGCTATGATGCCACTAGGTAATAGGACTTTTTTAGCTCCATTATAATCTTACGGGACTGCCATCATATATGTAGTCATTGTTATGTGGCACATGACTGTAGCTATATGAGTCTGTAGCTTCAGAAAGACATGAGAATTTAGAGGCTAGGGAGTCGAGTTGGGAGTCACTAAGATATAGGTAATGTACAAAGCCACGGGATTGGCTGTACTTATACCTAAGGAATGGGTGTAGATAGAAGAAAGAAGACAGCTGAGGATGGAGCCCAGGGTCACTTCAAGATTTAGAATCTAGAGGAGAATGCCAAGAAGGAAAGGCCAGTGAAGGAGGAGAAAACCAGAAAAATGTAGTATCCCAGAGGCCAAAAAAAGAGAGTGTTCCAAGATGAAAGGAGTTCTCAGCAGTGCCAGATGCTGTTCAGAGACTCAATAGATGGAATTGAGTCACAATGAAACAAGGAGGGAGATTAGCTGACAGTGAAGCTGGGGAGAGGGTCTAGGACAGCAGTTCTCAACCTTCCTAATGCCGCGACCCCTTAATACAGTTCCTCATGTTGTAGTGACCCCCAACCATAAAATTATTTTCGTTGCTACTCTATAACTGTAATTTTGCTACTGTTAGAATCATAATATAAATATCTTTTTGTTTTCCGATGGTCTTAGGCGACCCCTGTGAAAGGGTCGTTCGACCCCCAAAGGGGTCGCAACCCACAGGTTGAGAACCGCTGGTCTAGGAGGATTGTGAAGGAAAGAGTGGAGAGCGTAATGACAGTGGAATGCAGCAGGCTTGATGGCCTTGGAGTTCTGTGATCATAAATATCAAGTGAAGCCAGGCAGCAAGGCTCTGAGTCTTTCTCCAGCTACCTGCTTACATGCAGGGAAAGAAAGGAGCTGGAGAGACAGAAGGGCATCGAAGAGAGGAATGCTTGAATAGAGATTTTGGAGATGGTGCAGTTGCTGGTAATGATGAAGCCTAGGGTGTGACTATGAGAATGGATGGCTGAAGTAGAGAGGAGGTCTAATTGTTGAAGGAAAGGGATCATGAAACCAAGAGACCTGGGTGCACACAGATTGTTTAAAAGGATATTAAATCAACAAGAAAGATGTCGGAAATGGGGATGGAGATAAAACAGGTCCTAAAATCTTTAATGAATGAGAAGGAATGACCAGCAGGCCCGCAGAGAAGGGACCAGAAAGAGGGGGGTGTAGCCTGAGGGCCATGCTTCGGAAGTTTCAGTTAATTGTCATTGTTTTTGATTTCCTGACCTTGCTCCATCTTATCAAGATGCACAAATGAGCCAGCCCACACCTGCCCTCCTACAGCAACAAGCAGCAGAGCTGAAAAGGAAACAAACCTCAGACATTTGAGCAGTCCCACCTCAAATCCACTTATTGCCCATTTGTAATGTTTTTCTTTAGACTGATTCACTTTTCTTTAAAATATGTTTATTTTACAGGAAAATTTTATTTCACTACTATAAATAGAACACGTCTCACTTTCCATAAGCTGAGAGTAACCATAAAAATAGACTCCATGAAATAAGACAATGTTATTGAATTCTTTTAAATTTATAATTAAACAAACTAATGAACTACAAGTAAAAATTCAATCCAATCATGGTGTGAAACGTAAACCTGAAAATAAGCTTCATTAAGAGAAGAATGGAATCATTTGTAAAAAGTCAGACGTAAAGGGATATTTGCTGCGTGTTTTTAACAAGGGAAAAATGCAATTCTGTGTCAATAAGGAGCCACTTTTTTTTTCTTTTAATGTTTACCAGCATCAAGAATCAAAAAGGACAAATGATATCCCCTGTAGACAAACCTAGCGTCAACCAGTGATGTTTTGCTGTTTTCCTGGGAGGAAGCATGGAAATTCCATCTGCAGAAATCTCTCTCATCTCTATGGCTATACATCTGTACAGTTATGGCTGAAGGTTTGAAACATTCACGAGCACTCTGAGCCTTCAGAGAGCCGCGGTATAATTCATACACCTCTGTGAATCATCACAGCACTGCTTCCTTCATTTCATTTTCTGGTTACAATTAGTAGTATAACGGGGCTACGACCTGCAAAATCATTTATAATAAAGGAGTGCTGTTTTCCCAATTTCTGCATCATCACTTTGTTCCCAAGAGCTTATGTACTATATTGCCATCAGCTTTATCTAGATGAAGTGGTGCTAGTTTGACCATAGAGAAAATTATTCCTGAAATGTCTGCTTTCAGAAGTAGTAATTTCCTGCCATTCTGGCCTATTGCTTTTTTTGTTTCTAAATCAATGTTATTGCGGTATAATTTATATGCAATACAGTGCACCCAGTTTATGTGTACATTTCTGTGAGTTTTGACAGATTTACATGCCTATACAACCGCCACCACAATCGAGATAGAGATCATTTCCATCATCCCCAAATATCCCCTTGTGCACCTTCCTTCCTAGTCGATTCACCACCCCCATCCCTGGTGCTAGGCAACCACTTATCTGTTTTCTGTCACTTTAGATTAAAATTGCTTTTTTTCTGTAGTTTCAGATAAATGAGATCATAAAGCATGTACTCTTGTGTCTGGTTTCTTTTGCTCAACATATGTTTATTTTTTCAGGTATTTTTATTGTGGTAAAATATGCATAACATAAAATTTACCATCTTAACCATTTTAAATATATTAAAATACATTCATAATGTTGTGCAACCATCACCACCACCCATCTCAGTGACTCTTTTCATTTTCCAAAACTGAAATTCTATCTCCATTAAAAAATAACACCCCATTCCCCTTTCCCCCCAGCCCCTGGCATCCACGGTTCTACTTTCTGTGTCTGTGAATTTGACTCCTCTAGGGACCTCATGTAAGTGGAATCATGCAGTATTTGTCCTTTTATGCCTGGCTTATTTCACTCAGCATAATGTCCTCTAGGTTCATCCATGTTGTAACATAGGTCAAAATCCTCATCCTTTTCAAGGCTGAATACTATTCCATTGAATGGACAGACCACACTTTGCTTATTCTTTCATCTGTTGATGGACACTTGGGTCACTTTTATGCTTTAGCTATTGTGAACAGTGCTGCTTTCAGTTCTTTTGGGTATATACCCGGAAGTGGAATTGCTGAATCATATGGTAATTCTATTTTTAACTTTTGAGGAACCTCCATACTGTTTTCTACCTTTTGACATTCCTACCAACCGTACACAAGAGATTTCTCCACATCCTTGCCAATACTTGTTACTTTATGGATATATAAGAGGTGGCATCTCATTGTACTTTTAATCTACATTTAATTTACATAAAAAATCTCAGCATCTTTTCATGTGTTTATTGGCCATTTGTATATTTTCTTTCGAGAAATGTCTATTTAATCTTTTGGCTATTTTTGAATGGAGTTGTATGTTTCTTTGTTGTTGAGTTTTAGGAATTCTCTATATATTATGATATGAATTCCTTATCAGATATATGATTTCCAAACATTTTCCCCATTCTGTAGATTACCTTTTCATTCTGTTAATATTGTTTTTGATACACAAATTAAAAAAAAATTCATGAAGTTCAGTTTGTCTGTTTTTTTGTTGTTGTTTGTGCCTTTGGTATCATAGCCAAGAAATCATTGCCAAATCCAACGTTACAAAGGTTTTGCTCGCACATCAATTGAAAGGCTATATTGGCATATCCTGCATAGATTCCCTCAAATTTTTATCTCTAAACCTACCCACTGACTTCTAGATGGGCCACTATTGCGCCCTACCTTTCTGATTTGAGAAGGTGCCTCTTCTTCTTTTTGAGACTGACCCTCAGAGGGCCGGCCGAGTGGCTCAGTTGGTTAACAGCTCGCTCAAGAGTTTGAGCTCTGAGCAACAGCAGTTCAATTCCCGGCCCGAGCTGAGCAGCCGCTGAGCTGCCAACAGGTGGCAGGATGGCTCCGCTTAAAAAAGAAAAAGAAA